AACCAGAAGTCTAACCTTGTGATGTGGATGCACGTGAGGTAAAAGCATGAGAAGTAGAGGCGCCTGAACTGTTAGAAAATACTCCTCTTCAGCCAAATATCGAATGTTGTGAATAAGACTTCATAGTAAAACTTGTAATGAGCTTTAGAGGTTGAAGTATCTCTTCCCAACTATTGAATCTAACACTTGCATGCTCACATAAGGAAAAGATCAAGGATGCAAATAATAACCCTGTAGTAGTAGTAGCAACAACAGAACTGATGATAGTCTCATAAATTAGAGATCTAATTTAAATAGGCTTGAACAGCTGAATGCAATAGTTTAAAGTAGCTTTATCTCGAGTAACTTCACAGATGTGGTTGGTTGGTAGCAGACGAGCAGAAATAAAGTAGTGTCACGCCTTCGATGTAGCATCTAAATTTGATGCGGGGAAGTTAACTCTTCTTCCATTTGTAATCTTCCATCGGCCAATAATGATATGATCTCGTCCAACTCCCACACTCAGACTATAGTTTGAATAAAAACACAACGTACTAGGGGACAACTGGTAGAACATATTTATTACCTCAGGGGAGAAAGACTAATTTTCCTTGAACCACGACCTAATCTTCTTCAGCTTCTAGGAGATTAGTGTAAAACTCCCAAACAACAGAAGTTACAACCACAACAGAAAAACAACAAAATTGTTCCTACTGTTGGTGAACAATTAAATCTTCCTCTGCTTCACCCAAACTTTTAAAACATCTCTCAGGAATCAGTTTTCTCGATTGTAGTGCATCGATATACCTATCTTGAGCTTTCAAGCTAATGAACTTGCTTGAATCAAAATGGGACTTCCCTTTACTCCTTTTTCATTCTTGGGGCATCTCTAAAAATCACATAAAGTTCACAAAAAAATCCTAATTTCAAGACTAAATCACTAAACTCAACTTATAAAAGCTTAAACTATCATTTTTTATATATTTTCTATAGGTTTTTATCAAATTTTCACCATGAAAAGTGATTTTTGGCAAATCCCCAATGTGCTCAAAATACATGGTGAAAATAAAAAATTTTTACATAGAAGTGAAGCTCTTACCTCAAGAAGATCAAATGTAACAAATTTGGATTGAATCTACCAAGAAATTTCCACTTTAGAGGAAGCACTAACTCTCAAAATCATGAAAACCAGAGGAAGAAGACTAAGTTGGGTTGAAAATGGGTTTTTCGGCTCAATTTTTCACTTTAAACCATTTGTAAACCAGCTTAAGTGAACTGGTGCTTATGCGCTTACCTCTCGAGTTAACCAGCACTTAAGCGCGAGGTCTTGGCGCTTAAGCGCCAGTGCACGAATTTTGATATTTTTGATTTTAAGTAAAATGCACTTCTAGCCTAAGTCAACCACCCCTAAATGGTGTTATAAATCTTTAATGACTATTTTCTTCCCCTTCAACTCTCCTCTTTCTCAAATTCACCAATATTAACTAATTCAATTCAACACAAAATAACACAAAAGTCACACATAAATAAACACTTATATTAATTCACAAAAAAATAAAATTATTTGTGAGACATAACTTGTCAATCCAAAGAGTCTAGGATGAGATAATTCCTAAGCACAAACACTAAACAAACTTAACACTAAAAACATATAAAACAAACTTAATATTGACAAAAAAATGATAAACACAAATGAACACTAAAATAAGAACTTAATTCCACTCTCCTTTTGGTAGAATGAATCATGGCCTTTCATTAGTTTCTCCTTGGGTATTTGGAATATAGATCTAACAGAATGGAAGGTGGTGAAGAACTGCTTTATTCTCACTTAATCACATATTTGGATTCAGAGGCATTTTTTAATGCGCAGAACACCACAGTAGAATGATGTTGCAAAAAGGATGAATAGGTCCTTAAATAAAATGACAACGTGCTTAAGAGTGAAAGCAGGGCTTCCTAAATTTTTTTAGGTAGAGGCTGTGAATAGGGTATGCTATCTCATCAATAGAACACCTCATGCATCATTCGATCGCAAGATTGCAGAAGAGGTATGGATAGGTAATCCAGTTAATTTCGATCATTTACAAATTTTTGGTTATCCTACTTATGTGCAGGTACCTAGAGACGAAAGATCAAAACCTCATCCAAAATTCAAGAAGTGCATCTTTCTGGGCTACAAGCAAGGTTTGAAAGGATACAAGTTTTGGGATCCGATTGCAAACAAGATGGTGATCAGTAGAGATGTAGTTAGAGATGTAGTTTTTGATGAGTAGTTTTTGATGAACAGTTCATGTTACAGTAGAATCAAGACAAGGTGCAAGGGAATAACTCTAGTTCAGATACAATGGAGATGGATCTAGAACAACATTTAGTACAAAATGAGACAGTTGAAAGTTTTGAACCAACACCTGGTGATTCCAATACAGATGACTTGCAGAATTACAATCTAGCCAAAGATAGATAGAGACACACCAATGTAAGGCCTCCTCGCATATAGGGTTATGAAGACTTGGTCTCTAGTGCACTTCTCATCAACATCGATAATCTATCCAATTTTCAAGGAGCTATCACCAGCGATAAGAAAGAGAAATAGATGGGTTCAATGGTTGAGTTTATGAAGTTTTTGCAGAAAAATCACACATGGGAGCTAGTTCAGCTTCCTAAGGGAAAGAAGACTATTGGGTGCTAGTGGGTGTATAAAAGGAAACTAATAATATCAGAAAAAGAAGGAAAAAAGTTCAAGGCTCGACTTGTAGCAAATGGATTTTCACAGTAGAAGGAGATAAATTATGATGAAATCTTTTCTCCTGTGGTCTGACATACTTCAATCAGGGCAGTGCTTGCATTAGTAGCTATTTGGGATATCCATTTGGAGTATATGGATGTTAAAACTCCCTCTTACATGGTGATTTGGGGAGCAGATTTACATGGAGCAGCTAGAAGGGTTCACTAAACCTAGACAGCAGCATCTGGTTTGTAGATTAAGAAAATCGTTGTATGGGTTGAAAAAGTCTCCATGACTATGGTACAAGCGGTTTGACCCCTACATGATTCATATTGGCTACAGGAGATGTAAGTATGATTGTTGTGTCTATGTCAATAACCTTGATGATCGTTCTATTATTTTTATGTTATTGTATGTTGATGATATACTGATTGTTGCAAAGAATATGCATGATGACCATGGTTTGAAAGCTTTATTGAGCTAAGAATTTGACATGAAAGACTTGGGTCCAACGAAGAAGATTCTTGAAATGGAAATTCATCGAGATAGAGGCTCAAGACGACTGTGTTTCTTTCGATGAGGCTATGTTGAGAAAGTGTTTGACAGGTTTGAGATGAGCAAAACAAAGCCTGTGAGCACTCCATTGGCAAATCATTTTAAGCTTTCCTCAGAACAGTGTCCGAAGACAGATGGGGAAATCGAAGACATGACAAAGGTTCCATAGGCCAGTGCAGTTGGCTGCTTGATGTATGCAATGGTATGTACTCGCCCTGATTTGGCTCATACTATTAGTCAAGTCTGCAAATACATGTCTAAACCAGGAAGGCGATATTGGGAAGCAGTCAAGTGGATTTTCAGATATCTGAAGGGTACTGTAGGACAAGAATTATTTTTAGTAGTAGCAAAATGATCCTTCAGTTGTTGGGTATGTTGATTTAGACTATGCAGGTGATTTGGATGGCTGAAGATCTACAACTGGGTATGTGTTTACTCTTGGTGGAGGGTTTATATGTTGGAAATCAACAATTCAGTCTATTGTGGCACTATTTACAACTAAAGCTGAGTATATGGCAGTAGCTGAAGCTGCAAAAGAAGTCTTATGGCTTGCTTGGCTAGTAAAGGAACTGGGTGTTGAGCAAGGTGGAGTTCAGTTGCATTATTACAGTCACTGTCATTTATCTGGCTAAGAACTAGGTGTACCATGCAAGAACCGAGCATATTGATGTTAAGTATCACAAGATTAGAGAATTGATTGCTTATGGTGAGATATTTTTGCGGAAGGTTCACACTAATGGAAATACAACTGATATGTTAACTAAGCCAGTTACTATCAACAAGTTTTTGCATTGCGTGTACTTGTTGAATGTTTGCAGTTGCTAGACAGCATGCTAGCCCAACCCACTTCGGTGCATGTAAGAAACTCCATGATGTATTTCTCCTAAGGAGCTGAATATTCGCCAAGGTGGATATTTGTTATGTATGGCTCATATACCATATGAGGGACAGATGCTGGAGCGAAACGGAGCGAGCCAGTGGAGCGGAGCAAAAGTATCTATCCAATCGAGGGAGTTACGAGGGTTGAGGGTGCGGGGGCAACACCCCGTGATACGGTACATGGGTAATTTTGTAATTACACATTGTATATCTTGTACTCTTTTCTGAGATTAAAGGAATGTTGTCGCTCAGCTCCCGAAGATGTAGGCATCTTTGCCGAACCTCGTTAAATCTTTGTGTTTTCTTCTCGATTTGTGTCAATTCCTATTTTTCTTCGCCCTAATTTCTCAACAACAATAATAACAACACCCTTATTAAAGCAAGGGCAATCATATAATTTTCAACTTTAGCTCTCTATTATCTATAAATAGAGGATCATGACATGTATTAGTGATTTTTGTCTCTTCTCTTTAGACTCATGCTCTGCAGAAAGAACTCTCTTCATTTCTCTCTTATAACTCCCACATCCAATATATACAATGGGTTACATAGCCCGAGAATATGTCAATTCACCCCTAAGAGCAAGTTTATGTGTGTTATTTTCTTCTGCCTTATATCCGTCTCTTTTTTCTCTCATCTTTGATTCCTATTGTTAGGCATGTCTCATCAGTTAATGTGTTGATAGATTAAAATTCAAATAACAAAACAACCCCTTTCCGAAATTGTGGCCTCTCATACTTCTGAGGCGCATTTGATCAGCTTTGAAGTTTAATCACTAACAATAATAGCTATGGCTTAACTTGAAAAAAATAAAAAAGTCGCCGCATTGAACTTCCCAACAGCAAGCCAGACCCAGACCGAATAAATAAGGAATCCATTCTGTTATCGCTTTCCTACTGCACCTCTTCCAAAATGAGCAGGGCTGCTGCTGAGCAGATATCCCTATTCCGCTCCCAGATTGAAGACGGGAGGTAACTGTGCTCTCCGAATTTCCCTGGCTCATTATTCTTTCAAGCTTTTCCACAAAAAATCCCTCCGATCTTTCCTCCAGTTTCAGCGATGTTACTCTTCTGATCCTTGAATCGGTTCTCGTCGCCAAGAACATGCGAGCTCTGCTGGAGATCAGGTCGAGTCTCCAAAAGCTTCTTCGATCGAAGGCCAAGCTTGTAATGGATAGAATCGCTGCAAAGTCTGCTGATGAGAAACTCAGAGTTGCCGAGTTCTTCGTCAAAGCGTTCGCGCTAGTAGGAGACGTGGAAGTAAGTTTTTAGCATGTTCTTTTTAATGATTATATATGGTTGGATGTCTTCTTGCGGATCGAACTATGGAACACTAAATTTTCAATGGTTAGAAGCATTTGCATTTTGTTTGGTAGGTTGCCTGAAAAGAGGCATGATTTGGTTCCTAGGGGCCAATACTGTTTTCCTTATATCTCTAGCTGATCTGTGTTACATCAGGATGGAAATGATGATATTGTTTCGGTAATTAAAATAAAAAACTCTTGAAGTAAAATAAACAACTAAAGTTCACTGAACCACACGGTTGAGAGGTATAACCCTATACTCCTCTACAGTAGGTTTTCTGAGAAAGTGCAAAATGATAGTCTTGATTGTGATAAATATGGAAACGGATTTGGAGGGTGACAAAGACATGCTCAGAAGGAATCACATGTGCAGTGATAGGTGAAGAATTTAGTCTGATTCTTTTGTTTCTGTTGGTCGTGCCCATCCAGAGTTCCTCTTGCACCAGCAAACTGTAGTTAGCTGATACCAAAACTTGTTCTATAATTTTAGATTAATAAATTTATATTTATTAAAGCACATTTTTCTTTATTTGATGCCAAATTATGAACAATTTATTGCAACCGGCTTGCAATTAATCTTTGCTTAGTGATTGTTTGGATGCTCCATAATAGTTTTTTTTATGTTAACAAAATTTGTTATGTCCATCCAAGCTACTCTATGCATCCCCATTATCTGCTTACTCTCACATGAAGTTTTTGGTTTTTAACTACAAAAATATTTGTTATGGTTTGATTAGCAAATAATACCATTTCTTATGGTTTTGTAATTTATGCCAAGCATGCTTCTTTCCAGAGTTGCTTGGCTCTGAGGTATGAGGCGTTGGTTCTAAGGGAGACCAAGTATTACAATTATAATGGCTTTCGAGTTTCATATCAGGAATGGTATACCTTTGCAAAGGATTCATTTTATAATGGATATTATGCAATAGCTGTTAAGGTAACTTTTTTTTTCATGTTAAAAATATTTGTTTATTTGGCAAAAATTTGGGATTGTCAACTTTTATTTAATGCATAACTTGGATTATTTATATTGTTAAATTTATTAGTTGCTCTGAGCCTTTTTGTTTTCCTGCTTCATGATCAATTTGTTGCTTCTGCACAATAACTTGCCTGCTGACAGACATCATTCTTTTTTACAATCTTGATTATTTTGTAGTCATGTCTTTGATGAATTATAAATACATATTCAAATTTAATATGGACAACCCTGTTTTTTAAATCCTTGTGAAATTTCATCAATTTTAATGCTAAAAAATGCCATCAGATTTCAATGTTTAATGTTGAAATTAAAGCAAGTTTGAAGGATTCGTTATACTCAAAAAGATTTGTTCGAACCTTTACTTTTAACCTTCAAGCTTTTCTACAAATGTTTAATGAATGTCGTTTGGATGGTATCTCAATGTTTAGGGCCAAAGAACTCTTCAGCTTTTAATCTGCTGTGTTGAAATTAAAACAACGACTAACACTTGTGATGTTGAATAACAGTGACATGGTCTTTAATTTCCAGGTAAGAGAGGTTCTATTTGAACAATATAAACAATAGGTTATTGTTAGATAGAAACAGTAAACTAAAATTCCTTCAAAATCCTATATTACTTTTACTATGACAGGAGCTATTTTGATATGCTTAAATTAATGACCTTGGATATTGTCTGATCATATGTGTCGCTGGCTTTTGAAATTGAGTTGTTATTTCGTTACGAACCCCAAATGAGATCATTTTGGTGTTGTTTTTATAGGGATTTGACAGCGCACTTTCTTGCTTTCAGTCTGAATGGAAGGCAAATGAAAATAATGTTGATTTCCTTCTGAAAGATAATATTGTCGATAAAATTAGAAAACTCAGAGATGAAGCTTCTTCAATGATTTCATCAAGTTCTGGTATGCACCTTTCTTGTTTGATTTGAACTGCCATGCTATTTTAAGTTTTTCTTAACATTTTCTACTTTATTTAGTCACTATCCAATGTTAGACAAAGAATAGTTGATACATCCTTTTGTTATGGAACCAAAATTCATCATCCATTATGTATAGCCAAAAACGGCATTGATGGGCCAACAGTAATAGGAATTGCTTTGTGGGCCTTCTCCCAGTGTAAAGTCCTTTAGATGATCTAGCCTAGAAAGCAGGTGAATTGTAGATGGACTGATCCAAGCAGAACTGATCCTAATGGATAGCAACCGATTATGAGTGAGTGAATATGAGTGGCCGAATACCAATTGCTTGATAAAAATATCCAAATAGAAGAAACTCAAAATAATGGCTAGTACTCAGTAACAAGCCATCTCGCTAATGCCATTAGTTGACTTCGTTACCTCACTAAGAACCATACCTTACAACCCCAGCAGATTATGAGACCATAATCTAATCTCCATACGAGAGACGCTCGTAGGATGAACTCTTGAGGGCAGGGGATTAACTAAATGCCCGACAAGGTTTGACAAAGTAAGTAGGAATGGAAAGTCAAAAGTGATGTCGACAGACGGTAGGACACTGGAGATAGCATAATATATACACCTAAGGAGGCAAATAAGAAACTCAAGCAGCTAAGGATCCCATGGGATCTGAGTGTAATCATAATTTTCATATATTTTTAATAAGAAATCCCCTTAAATAAAATGGGGAGCTATTGTGAAGGGAAGATATTTTTCCTTCTTATGGGAGAGCACCAACTCCCTCTTTTTTTTTCTTCACTAGTTCCATCCTTCGGTGTGTTTCCACGGACAAAATAGAATTCAACTCATTAACATAACAATTCATGTGACATTTTATTTTTGGATCAAATAGTAGCTTTTTTTTTGTAAAAGTAGAGCTTTGTTGTCATCCAAATGTCTTTCAGATCAATGAAGAAACTTGCTCATAGGGATGAAGTGACTTGAATAATTTTTGGGGTGAACTAAAGCCAAGATTGAGAGAGTGGGGAGTAGAGTATGGATTTTTATTATTTTAGAAGCTGCACAACCTACTAACCTATGTACTTAAGGAAAAGAATTCATGTAGCCGACCCAACTGAGTGGGATAAATACTAGTTGTTGTTGTTGTTGTTATTATACTAACACAGTATTTGACAAGCTTGTGTAATTTTTTAAGATTATTTTTTTGTTCACTTAAAATAAATTTTATTATTTATAAGTTGTTATTCTGGCAAATAACTATTCTTTTTTTTGCCTTGTGTATTTCAAGCTATAGTAGATTTTGAGTAGTCTATTGGCGTGTTATTTCAAGATATGATAAATTCATATTGATTAAAGACTATTGGTTACTGTTGTGATTCTGATTTTAGCTATATTATTATTTTAGATCTATTTTTTGACCGTCACGGTGATATAAATCTTTTATTGATAAAGAAATTATATAATGATTGTTTTATATTATTTCTTTTATTGCATAGTTTTGTGATCTAAATGAAATAATATTAGTGTTTTTATTTATTATATAGTTTGGTGACTCAGCCTCATCAACTTTAGTCAGTTTTCGAAGGAGGATCAGACTCCTGCTTGGGAGCATGCACTGTTTAGCAATTTTTGATTAAAATTTGAAAAATATATTTTCTAATATTTAATTTCAATATTTAATGTAGTTGCATGTTTCTTAAGGTGTGTTAAATTTGATGTTAAATTTATTTTTAGCATGTGCAACATTCTTAAATGTTGCTTTTGAACATTTAATATATTTATTAGAGCGCATGTAGGAGATTTATTGTGCACGCTTTTCAATATGAGGCAAGTTGAGTTAAGTTTATTTGAGGCAGTCAAAGTTTTTTCAGACTTTGTATTTGAGCATTTAACACATTTGTCGGAGCACAGTCGGGCAATTTAGCGTAAATGCTTTTCAAGATAACGATAATCTGAGTTAATTTTTTTTAAAACTTATGGGGTATTCTTAGACTTTGTGTTCAAGCGTTTAACATATCGGTTGCAGCTCATCTAAATAATTTTTATATTAAGTCTTTGATTTTGCCTTTTTCTCGGCTTGTATGTTTAATTATGGATTTGGCAATACCCCTAAAACTGAAGTAAAGAAAAAATGAGTGACTTGCACTAACAGATGAGGTATTTATAGACTTCTACGAGGCCGCTTTTTAAGGAAAATATTTATGAGGGAACAATAAAACAAGAATGCACGGGTTGCAATCTAATGGATATTAAAATATTAATCCAACGGTAGATGCATTCAATACATGTGCTCAAAATTTCTTTCTGAGAATTCAATTAATATTTTCACAATTTCCTTATGAGAAAAACGGGACTCATAGAAGTCGGGTCATAGATTTAGGAATCTATTGTCGATGTTCTGGTTGTTTGGTTTCATGGCTATATATATTTAAGTTTATTATGATATTTTTGGTTCATCAATTCTTTGATCCATTAATATTTTTAAGTTTACTGTGATATTCTTGGTTCATCAAGTCTTTGATGATGCATTAATAGCTATTCATGAAGTATTCGTCGAGTTAGTCTGTTGATAACCTAAGGTGCATAATTTTTCTCTGTTCTAAAAAAATCTTTTTTTTTTTATCTATTAGTGCGCTTTCTTTCTGGAAAAAAAAACCATGTTTCACATGCAATTTCTTTTTTTATCACTCCTTTTCTGAACTATTCTGGATGTCTGTATACTTGATGCTACCAAACAGTTCAGGCACTTACCTCCAAATACTTGAAAAGAAAGGCCACTGAAGATGACCAAAGGTGCACTTTATTTTCCACCAACTCCCAGCAAGCTGCAAGCTCAATGTTCAGACTTGGGATCAATAAGAGAAATGCACATAAACTTTTCCAGAGCCAACGACAGAAACAACTGATGTCAGGGCCATAGCATATTTCTTTTGACGTTCATTCTTTCTGACGTTTATGGGGAAATGGTTCTACTGCTCTTTTTTTGAAGGTTTGGTACTTCTATTTGTTTCCTTGGTATTAATTTCTAACCATGACCTCTTTTACATCCCGCTGCAGGATTACCACGATTTGTCAGATCCAGATTTATGGTTACCACTTTTTATTTTTTACTTGAAGGAGGATCATATTTCTGTTGATATAAGACAGCTGCACTCTGAGATGGCTTTTACATTCAATTTAATTCAAATATAGCTTTCAGTGAAGGTAATTTAGCTATATGAACCAGTGAGCTACACAGGCTGCTAAAAGCCCGCTTTTCCAGTCTACCCATCTTCCCCTTTACCTAAGCCTCCTTGCATTTTGCCATACGCCTTAATTAACATAGGATTATGCGATTCCATAGCTAACCGTCGGGATGACTTCTTCTGGGCAAGGTTCTCCCTTTTATATGCATCTATACTTTGTTTTGTAGGGTGTTAACCATTCGAATTCAAGGCTAGGAACTTTAGAACGGAGGGGGTCATGGTCTGACTAATTTGAGGAGAGGTGAGGTGAAGCAAGGATACACAAGAGTAAAGGAGAGATAAATTGAGTCATGGGTGGAACTTTTTTTTATTGGTTATGTTTAAACAAGATTTAGAAGGAGCAGTTTGACAACGGAAGAATGGTCCATTTTTCATAAATTATATGATATGATACTTATAGGTATTTTTCAAGTTGGTCTCTTTTGCACGGGAGGACTCTCTCCTGTCCATTCTTTGGGTTATACTCATGTCGATTATTACACGTGAAGAGAACGGTGCGGTAAATCCCTCATTTTAGAGGAGATATAATTTGATGGATCCTGTATTAATTTTTTTTTAAGGTATCATGCACTTATTTTATCTTCTCTACCATCTTGTGTTGTGTGTGGAGCCCGATTAAGAAAAACGAAAAAAAAAAAAACTGTTTCTGCCTAAATGACTCGTTCCGCCTTTCCGCCTTTGCTTCTTCCCATTTTTTTCGCGAATCAGTTTCCCTATCTCTCGTCGTCTCCGCCTCCTGCAGTTCGCGCTTGTCTCCGCCTCTCTTGCTTGCGAAATAGAAGTTCAACGATTCTTCTCTCTCGCTCGCTGTAGTTCACTCCTCCCGTCATGTTCGTGAAACGGGAAAGGAGATTTTTCCTTGGATTTTTCTTGAGGCTTACGGGAAGCAGAAGGTGCTCTCTCTTAGTTGTTTCTGCGTGTTTGGCAGAAGGAAGAAGAAGATAGTGTAAGAAAAAAGGTTGTTCTCCTTGATTTCTTCTTGGTAGATTGGGGTAGAAGAGAAATAGGTTTTTCTCTTGTACTTTTTTCTTCTCCTTGATTTCTTCTTGGTAGATTGTGGTAGAAGAGAAATAGGTTTTGTTTTTGTACATTTTTCTTCTTCTTCGGTGTATCTCGGTGTAGAGAGAAGAGAGGAGAAGTGAGAGAAAGAGTTCGCTCTTGTAATTGGAGACGATCCACTGGTGTAAATTCCTTAATTAGTAAAATCCTCTGCAACTCCGTTGATGTAGGTAATTTGCAGAATCTTTCGTGTGAATCTTCTCGTTCTATTTTTCACTTCATCGTCGATCATTTTAAATTTCATTTATATCACAACAACTGGTATCAGAATCAATGACTGCAAATGAAGTGAAAGTTTCAGGGATCGAGAGGTTCGATGACACAGATTTTGGTTACTGGAGGATGCAGATAGAAGACTACCTCTATAGGAAGAAATTTCATCTTCCGTTATTGGGGAAAAAATCTGAAAGAATAGATAAGGCTAAATGAAATCTGTTGAACAGACAAGTTCTAGGGGTTATTCGATTGACCCTATCGAGGTCCGTTGCACACAATGTCGTCAAGGAGATGACGACTGCAGATCTTATGGCAGCCCTGTCAGGTATGTATGAAAAGCCATCGACGAATAACAAGGTATATCTGATGAAAAAGTTATTCAATTTGAAGATGGCGGAAAGTACGTCTGTTGTACAACACTTGAATGATTTCAATACTATCACAAATCAATTATTATTTGTGCAAATTGAATTTGATGATGAGATATGTGCACTAATCTTGTTGGCTTCATTGTCAAATAGTTGAGAAGTTATGAGGATGACTGTCAGTAATTCTGCAGGTAAATCTAAACTGAAATTTGAAGATATTCGTGATTTGATTTTGGTTGAGGAGGTGCGCAAGAAAGATTCTAGTGAGATCTCAGGTTCGAGTTCGGCATTAAATGTTGATTCCAGAGGGAGATCACTTGACAGGAGCACATGACAGGAACTCAAACAGGGAAATATCAAAATCAAAGAACAGAAGCATGAGCAAATCAAGGCCTGGGGCCTGGTAAACAAGTAACTTGCTTGCTGGAATTGTGACAAAACTGACCACATAAGGAGGAACTACAAGAATTCTAAGAAGAAGGAGAATGAAAAAGCAAATGTGGTAACTGAAGAATTACATGATGCACTACTGCTGACAGTTTGTAGTTTTGTTGATGACTAAATACTAAATTCAGGAGCTTCTTTCCATACAACTTTCTATAGGGAATTGATGCAGAATTATGTTGCAGGTGACTTCGGGAAAGTATATATGTCAGATGGAGAAGCTCTGAACGTGGTAGAAATGAGAGATATTGACATTGCACTTCCAAACAAGAACAAGTGGACTCTGTAAAAAGTAAGATACATTCCTGAACTGAAGAAGAACCTCATTTCTGTTGGGCAGCTTGATGAGTGTAGACATTCAGTGTTCTCAGATAACACCTGCAAGGTTACTAAAGGAGCACGGGTACTGGCTCGGGATAAGAAAACATGTACGTTGTATATGACAACTGGTTTAATTAATAGTGTTGATACTACTGTTGCAGAGAGCACAACAGAGTTGTGGCATTGCAGACTTGACCACATGAGTCGGAGAGGTATGAAGGAACTTCTGTCCAGAGGTAAGCTACCAGAACTAAAGTCAGTTGATCTTGACATCTGTGAGAGCTGCATTATGGGGAAGCAGAGGAAAGTCAGTTTCTTGAAAGGTAGCAGGATGCCAAAGAGCAGGATGCCAAAGGCAATGCCAAAGGCAGGAAAACTGGATCTTGTACACACAGATGTGTGGGGACCTTCTCCAGTCGCATCTCTTGGAGGCTTTCGTTACTACATCACATTCATTGATGATCATAACAGAAAGGTATGGGTTTTTTTCTTGAAGTGTAAATTTGATGTATTCAGTGTATTCAAGACTTGGAAGGTCGTGGTTGAGACAGAGACATGCTTAAAGCTGAAATGTCTGAGGTCTGATAATGTGGTGAGTACATTGATGGTGGGTTCAAGGAGTACTGTGCAACTCAGGGAATCAGAGTGGAGAAGACCACTCCAGGGACACCATAGTAAAATGGTGTTGCAGAGCGCATGAATAGGATCATTAATGAGAGGGCTAGAAGCATGAGTTTGCGCTCCGGACTACAACCTACTTTCTGGGCAGAAGCAGTCAATACTGTAGTTTATTTGATCAATAGGGGACCATCTGGAACTGTGAATTAGCTGAAGAAGTCTGGAGTGAGAAAGAGGTCAAATTTTCTCACCTTCCTTAAGACTTTTGTCACCTTAAGACTTTTGGTTGTCTTTCTTATATACTCATTAATCCTGATGCTCGAAATAAGCTTGAGGCTAAGTCAAACAGGTGTTATTTTATTGGCTATGAAGAAGAGGCATTTGGATATCGTTTCTAGAATGATCAGGGTCGGAAGATCATAAGGAGCAGGAACGTGATTTTCAATGAATGTTATGTACAACGAAAAGTCAAATATATTTTCTGAAACAACACTGAAGGAATTTGAGTTGGTAAGATTTGATAATTTACTAGAGGTCACAGTGCAGGATAGAGTGCAGGCGATGAGGAGAGTGGATTCGGGGCATCCACACCTATTGTTTCACAGTTAGTTTCAGAGCAGTCTACCCCTACAATTGCAGTTTGCAGGTCAGAAAAGGCTAGACATTCACCACAGCGTTATTCTCCAACTTTAAATTACATTCTGCTGACAGATGGTAGAGAACCTCGGAGTTATTAAAAAAACTTGCAAGATGAAAATTCGAGCTAGTGGGAGCTAGCCATGAAGGAAGAGATTAATTCTTTGCTAGAAAATCAGACTTGGGAGTTGGGCAGAACTTCCATCTGGGAAGAAGGCATTACACAACAAGTGGGTGTACCGGGTGAAGACTGAGCATGATGACAGTAAGAGGTACAAGGCTATACTTGTTTTAAAGGATTTTCAACAGAAGCACGACATTGATTATTCCGAGATTCTCTCCTGTGGTGAAGCTTACAACCATTTAAATGGTATTGTCTATGGTGGCTACTGAGAATCTCTTTCTTAAGGAGTTAGATGTGAAGACAACCTTTCTTCATGAGGATCTTGAAGAAAACATCTACATGCACCAACCTGAAGGGTTCGTAATACAGGGAAAGGAAGAGTTAGTTTGCAGATTGAAGAAGAGCTTGTATGGCCTGAAGCAAGCTCCTAGACAATGCTACAAGAAATTTGATAATTTCATGCACAGTGTAGGGTACAACAGATATCAGGCAGATCACTGTTGCTACGTCAGGTATTTTGACAATTCCTATATTATCCTACTGATGTATGTGGATGATATGCTTATTGCAGGTGTTAATATTGAGGAGATCAATAATCTGAAGGAACAAATGTCAGAGCGCTTTATAATGAATGATTTGGGAGCGGTAAAGCAAATCTTTGGTATGAGAATTGTCAAAGATAGAGTCAGAGGCATGTTGAAACTCTCTCAGGCTAAATATGTGAAAAAAGTACTTAGCAGGTTCAACATGGATAAGGTCAAATCAGTTGACACACCCTTGAGAAGTCACTTCAGACTCAGCAAGAATCAGTCACCCAAGTCGGAGGAGGAACAAGTTCACATGAGTAAGGTTCCTTATGCTTCAGCTATTGGTTCACTTATGTATGTTATGATTTGCACCAGATCGGATATTGCCCATGTAGTGGGAGTTGTTAGCAGATACATGAGTAATCATGTAAAGGAACATTGGGAAGCAGTTAAGTGGATCTTGAGGTACCTAAGAGGCTCTGCAGAAACTTGCTTGTGATTCTCAGGAAAAAGTACAGAGGTACATGACTATGTTGATGCTGATCTAGCTGGAGATATTGATACTAGAAGTACTACAGACTATTTATACTATTGGTGGTACAACAGTATCATGAGGCTCTAATATGCAGAAGACAGTTTCGTTGTCTACTACAGAAGCTGAGTACATAGCAGTGCCAGAGGATGCAAAGGAGATGATATGGCTACAGAGCTTCTTGAAAGAATTAGGCAAGAAGGATCAGATGAGCATACTCTACAGTGATAGTCAGAGCATCGTATTCCTTGCCAGGAATCCAACATTTCAATCTAGGACTAAGCACATTCAGATCAGGTATCACTTCATACGATCGTTGTTGGATAACAGTCAGTTGATGCTTGAGAAAATTTTTGGAAGCCAGAACCCTGCTGATATGTTGATAAATGGTGTTACTCTGAAGAAACTGAACTTGTGCGCAACTTCAGTTGGTCTTCTGGTGTGAAGGCAGGGCCTTGAGTTGCAGAGGTAGAGGATTCATGTTTAAAGAAAAGGGTGAAGCCACCAGTAGAGGATATCAGTTTGAGGAGGAAGGACGTTGCAGTCTGTGAACCGGTCTCCAAGTGGGAGATTTGTTGTGTGGAGTCCGGTTAAGAAAAACGGAAAAAAAAAATTTGTTTCCACCTAAATGCCCCGTTCCGCCTTTCCTTCCCATTTTTTTCGCGAATCAGTTTCCCTATCTCCCGTCGCTCCGCCTCTCTTGCTAGCGAAACAGAAGTTCGAAGATTCTTCTCTCTCGCTCGCTGCAGTTCGCTCCTCCCGTCATGTTCGTGAAACAAGAAAAGAGATTTCTCCTTGGATTCTTCTTGAGGCTTACGGGAAGCAGAAAGTATAAAAAGGTGTGTTTTCGCAAGGTACTCTCTCTTAGTTGTTATTGTGTGCTTGGCAGAAGGAAGAAGAAGATAGTGTAAGAAGAAGTTTTCTCTCCTTAATTTCTTCTTGGTAGATTGTGGCAGAAGAGAAATAGTTTTTTCTCTTGTACGTTTTTCTTCTTCTTCGGTATATCT